ATTTTTAATTTTACAAATAGGTTGAACTCTCCAAAGAGAACCTTTTTACAAAATTCAACAAACAGTGGTTTAATTTAGTTGAAATTGTGTTCATTCTTAAATGTGTTCGTGCCTGCGTAATTTATCAAAGATCGTTAGTTTAATTAAAGCTCTTGTGTAACCTCATTTCCAAGCGACGTGTATGTAATTGTGAATATAAATCTAGGTCACAATATTTCTCATGTATTCAGTGATTAATGAAATATTTTTTTGTGTTTGGTTTTAGAAACGATTGATTTGCTAAAACTGAAAGGTTTGGATGATTGAATTTGATAATTTGTTGCGCATAATATTATTATAATTGCATTGTACTACTGTGTTCTTATTTAAGCTCTATACCCTAAAATATGCGATTTCATAACAAACATTTTTCTTTTAAAATTAACATAGAAATTTCCTGTTGCATCTTTTACAGAATATTAACAGGTTGACATGTCGGTCAGATTTTATTAAAAGGAACATGTGTTGTAATCAATAAAACAAAACAGATCAAATTCGATAAGATTTATATAAAACTAACCGTCAGAATGGATATTTATCAGAGACATGATACGATATACTAACTTTTAAACTTTCGCGTTCCATGATAATTAATATTATTTAACGGGAATTAACGCGATCTCTTATTTAGGTATGTAATACCCTAAATAAGAGATCGCGTTAATTCCCGTTAAATAATATTAATTATGATACGATATATCAACAATAGCGCTTAATAAGTCATGTTCACTATTGAAATTAACGCAAATTGGTTACACATTAGCTGTTGTATTATTTAAAATACGGAATTGAATTTATCGTTACCACAATAACAGATTATGGGATGTATATTGTACAATAATTATTTGTATATTAATTAACTTGGTGGCGCTGCAATATAAGGTATTAATTTGCTTTTAAGTGTTAAATTATTTGAAATAAATCCAGAGGGTTGTGTGTCACCATTTGTCTTTTTAATACTTTTTATGATATGAAATAATTGGATTCTTGGCAAAGCTACAATTGCAGGTCATTATTTTTATTTCTACCAGCGCCTCGACGTGAATTGTTATTGGTGGCCATTTAAAAAAAACACGTATACGTGTATTACAATATTAATACCAATTATATAGTTTTACAAATATTGTATTTTAATGGTCCAAAGCATTAAGTACAAGTGTTAATATCCTATTCGCGGTAAATTTCTATAACAGTAAATTAACACAACTAGCAGAAAAATTTAAAAACAATAAAAAATTAAAATAATTGGATTATGTAATTACTGGCTGTGTATTTTACATGCAATTAGTTGACAAGGTGCCTCGGCTAAAGGGTTGGTGTTTATCCAAACGTTTGAATTTAGTAATTTATATGGGCATACATTATATTCACATTAAAATTCAGATTATTCATATTGATTTGAGGTAGTTTAGATTAGAAAATTATTTGTAAATCACAGTTTTAGAAAAGTATGGTCCAATAACGACATATTTAAAATGAAGTCTTGTGCTTTTTATTTGTTACAAAGTTAAATATAGAATTTACTTGAAAACCAATTACCTTCCAGTTCCGTCAGTTATATATGAGCTCGGCGTAATATTTAAGTTCAAATTGAGTTTTGCATGCTTCCTTTGATGGTCGGCTGTCAGCGTGACGTCGACTCTCCTTCGAATGTAATTGTAATTAAACGGTAATTGACAATTGAAGAAGATAATTCAGTGTGAGGAGAATAGGTAGACCGGGAAATAGGATCAAAACTGCAGTAGCTATAAGGCTGTGTCCGATCCCTTGTGTTCTTCCTATGATTGATATTGTCACAAGATAGACACTACTACAACAATACAAATACTATAAGTACATCAATTATTTTAATTATTATAAGAATTTAAAAGTTCACGGTCATCATTCCTAAAATTGTATTAATGGAGTCGAATTGCCCAGCTGTATAGTAAATATTTTACGGCTTAACTGTAATTATCTGTTTAAAATCCATGTTACCATTACTCAATAATTAATTAACCTCGTTAATTAAGTGTTATTGTGGTTATTGCTAATTAGTATTTTAAAAATGAGTAATTTACATAATATTACTATGTATAATGACCTCGTTATCTACATGTTAATACGTAAAGGATCCTGAAACGGAGTATTCTTTGTAGTTACTTCTACTTCCTTTTTAAAAAGATGGCACATGAAAGCAAATTATACCTGGAATATTGAATGTTTAGTGAAAGCAGAAGTGATAGAAGAAATTAGTAGGAAAGTGCAGAAAGCTAAAAAGTAAGAATGATATGTGCTAAACAGTTAGAGATTATGTAAAACACCTACGTAAAGCCATAAGGATCTAGTAATTTTTTGTTTTTATGTAACAAAACTCTAAAAAAAGACAGCTGAACTCATACTGGTAAACAAATCGTAATAAACAAATCCGTCACACACTTAGGAATGAAGATTGATGACAATTTTTCCTGGTCAGACCATATAGATTACTTGTGCAATAAACTTAGAATATTACTGGGAAAATTCTATCACCTTAGTTACAAAGTCCCGACAACTACATATATTAAAGTGTTTATATACAGCATTAGTTGATCCCATACTAAGCTACGGAATCGACTGCTATGGACAGACGTTCAAAACCTATATATTAAAACTAGAAACACTTCAAATTAGATTTAAAACTAAAAACGGCTATTCTAACGACTACAGAAAATTGTTCAAATAAAAAAAAATCCTTCCTGTAAGTATTCTGTACTAACCATAGTAAACTCAGTATACACTCCTTAGTAACTAACACCTAGATCAGTATCTGCAGGCAGGTATGATGTGCGTGATGATAGAATAAACGAAAAACGTCTACCTACTTGATGAATAGCATACCTGCAAGCATTTGGAACAAGCCAAATAAAAATAAATTCTCAAGATTGTTTAAGGAGTTAGACACTATGTGAGAATGTAACTTAGATGTAATGTAATGTAGATATAACGAGAATCAATTTTGTTCACACAGACAAACAGCTAAAGTTGTTTTGTGAGGCACTGTATAACCTAATAGACTAAATGTAAGCTTAGTAATATATTTAATAAAATAAATAAAAATGGTATAAAAATAATAACACATTTGAAACTCGACTGCCACGCAATCTTCAGTGCTAATAAAATATTGACATACTTAAACTCTTTGAACTTTATTATGTATACATTTGCTGTATTACAGAATAAATGTATCTTGTTTTCTTTTCTTTTTTCATTTTGTTAATGGCTTTAATGTGTATTTGTTTTTAAAGGAAAATGAATAAGTTGTTTTATACCGTTTTTATGCCAAGAGTAATTTATGAAATTAAATTTGACAAGTAGGGAATAGAATTGAAATTACTTTCATTTTATTTCTGCAAAGATAAGGAAAACTTGAAACAAAACCTATACCAATCCATCTGACCAGAGTGGTATGGTAAGCCAAAACCTTTTTTCTAAGGAGAGGCCTATGTCTAGCAGTGAAGGGCTATGGGCTAAGGGTTATGGGACTATTATGATGATGATGATGAAAAGTTGACAAACAAGCTTATTATATACCTTGCATATAATCCCGAGTCGGCATGGGCGGAGATGTATTAAAGAGGCATCTACGAGGAGATTTACATTTTAGTCCCAATTACTTACTGGCAAATTTATTGCCGTACAGGACACCTTGGGAATTAAAGATGAGACATTTAAGATTACCTACATTGAAATTGAACGATGGTTAAGAAGGGAGGGTATTAGAATGAGAGAGATTTTTATACAGATCTATTATTGTGTACTGTAAGCAATTAGCTTGAGCTACTCAAAGTACCTGTGGCCGGGGAGTATGAACCCATTAATATATAAAAATAACAAAAGTCGTTTTGTAGAAATATCTACTGCCATCTTGTGACCGCGACTTTGTTCGCATGGAATTTGAAAAGCGCTGACTAAGTGGGTTCTATTCACGGGTCGGGCAAAACTCTATAGGGTTTTTCTGAGAGAACAAACAGCCAAACAAAGTTACTCCTTATATAGACAGCTACTTGGTAGTAAAATATTTTCAAAATTAACCTAGCCGTTAGGAAGATATACAGACAGACAAAAAATATTTAAACTAGTTTTTGGGCATAGGTATGGTGCAAATAACCGCGTGACCATAAAGAAAACCTATTATTTTGGCATTACAAACAGACACTTCAAATTTATTTAATTGTATAGATATAGATGAAATCCACCGTATTTCAGCATAATATTTATTTTAAAACAAAGCGAAGTAACAACGTTGTTTTATAAACTTAGATTGTTTGCAATAAACAAAACGAACTTTTATTAACTTAAACTAGTTAGTAGTAGTGAAGTTATGTACAACTTTACTTTTCAACAAATCGTTATGATCAGCATCAAGAGTTTGACCTGAATTGGCACTGTATAAGCACTGTAATTGGTATTATTGAAAGTTTGCAGGCATTAAACTTTATTAATTACGAAAATAAGAGGGGTAAAGGTGAATCTTAAGTACTGTAGAGTCTCAAGGATTCGTATTAACTTGTTTAATATAGTCAGTCAGTTAATATAGTCAAGGAAGCGCTTTGTTATATAAACGCAGTGAGCCTTTTCTGCTCGTGACGTGTCTTCTCTTAATGGGAATGGATATTGTATTTGTTGTGTTTGAGTAAAGCAATAAATTATACTTTGCTTTATTTACGATTTAAATACACTGTGAAATGTGTGGCAGGATTTACCGGTTTTTTGAATAAGCAATTTTAAAGCCTCTTGATAAAATTGTTTTTTTTTACTATTGAAATAATTGTATTTCACTGATCATACATAAGATATAATTATTACTATTAAATTTGACGCAAATAAAGTTTAGGTAATACTCGTATAGGTATATAAAATATACTATGAGATGGACCGATTTATGTAGAAACAATGAATGAAGTTAAACAGTATATAAGTATTAAATGGTTTACTTACAATCACATTGAAGATTTCGGGTCCTTTGATTCACTAAGCTGTGATTCTTCATCTATTAGTTGCAAATTTATATTTTCAGTTTTCGTATGAAATGTTGCTGATATTGTCTTATCTTCCAATACTATATTCTCTACTTCGACTCCATTATCTTTCTTTCCACTACCTTCAAATATCCTCTGCTTTATCGAGGGCCCTCTATTGAAAGAAGAAGGTAATAAAGTTTCCTGGATAGTATCGTTGCCATTGCATACCTTATCAGATTTATGTGTTGGCATTCGGCCAGAATGGTAGCTATTTCGGACTCCACCAGTTGACTCGAAAAACGGTAGAACTTGTTTGAATTCTTTTCTAAAGTTTTCGTTTAGCCATGCATATAAAAATGGATTGTAGCATGTTGAGGCCATCGCCATTGAATGAGCTAAGAAAAATGATACAAAGTAATAGTTCCATTCTGTCATCTGAGCGTAAAAATCATTGAAAATATTGATTAAGTTTAAAGGCAGCCATGATGTTCCAAATATAGCCACCATGGAGATAAGCATTCTATTTGTTCGTTTTTTTCTATCTCTATCTGCTTCTTCTCTTCTTGTATTTTTAGCACCTGGCTTTGACCTTGCTCGGTCGTTTAATCTTATACTAACACATGTGTAACATACTGCTATTATTAAAAATGGTATGAGAAATTGTAATACTGTTGTAAATACTCCGAATATTTTCCTTGATTTATCTGATGGCCAACTTTCTTCGCAATAGTAGGTTCTATTGTTTGTCGTTTGTATTCCCATGAAGAGGCCGTAAGGGCAGGTGACGACGAGAGAAAACACCCATATGAATATTATAATAAGTATGCATGTGTTCAATTTCATTCTTGGATGAAATGGATAGATTATGACAAAAAATCTATCGATTGCTATTGATGTTAATGTTAATGTAGATATGTAGACGCTAGTACCTTGAGCGTATGGCATCAAATGACATAGGATTCTACCAAATACCCATCTTCCTAGAAATGTGTACATGGGCGTTAAAGGCACTGCAAATATACATAGCAGTATATCTGAAAGCGCCAGGTTCGTTATGAAGAGGTTTGTGACTGTTTGCATTGCTCTATTCCGAAAGACAACGTAACAAACCAGAACATTGCCAAATACGCCTAAAACGAAGATTACTGTGTATAAAATGCAGAACGCGACTTGAACGACCTTCACATCAATAATATCTGTCGTCTTGTTAGATTTAGGTTCATCTATGACTTCAACCGATTCTCCTGTTAATGTTTTAGTGAGGATTAGAACTCCTCCGCCAATTAAAGTCGTTCCGTTTAGATACATTGCAGCAGGGGCATTATAGTTTACTATCGCTGATAACTCGTCATCATGGCTGATGTTGTAAATAGTCTGCATGTTAGCTCAAAATTGTCTTCGAATACAGTGATGTTTGCCAGTCCATCTGCAAATAAAGAAAAAGTATCATTAGAATAAAATAATTAGTAAAATTCGAAATCATATTACTTAAAAGGTTTATTAAGAGTTTTTAATGATTTTATACTCGTATATCTTTCCTTATTTGTCGGATGTAAGTGTTCGTAAATTTGAACTTTGTACCTTTGTTAGTAAAGATAACATTTACTTGGCGTATACCTTTTTGAGATGTAATACTTCAACGGTAACCATAGAAACGGATACGATCGCTATTAAGTCTGAAACATTATCGTACGTGAGTACATTACGTTATATTCTGACACCATCTGGATGGGCTACAAAAGTACAGTAGAATTAATTCAATTTGGAAGTTTTGGGTCGAGACCTGCCCTTCATTACTGTTAGTGTCATAAATATTATTACTCATTTAGTTGAATATAATAACCTGAAAGAATAGCCTAAATGTTGTAGTCTAAACTTTTAACTATTCAAAAGGACTTTCGACCAGGTTTTGGTCAAAACTCTTTTCGACTGAAATTAAACTTAAAATAATTTTGTAAGATAAAGTCGGTTAAAAGTATTATCATGTCAGATTACATATTTCCATTTACATTTTGGTCACTTTAAAAGTGACTCTTGACTAATTGCGAATATATAGTAATTTAAACCGTTATTAGGTGAGGTTAGATATTATTTAAAGATATAAATCACTAAATCAGCCTCAAATGGATTCTGGAATCTTTACGGTCTGTATACTCATTATATCATTATGAGCGATTTTATATAATAATAAATCTTTATTTCAGAATAGCTTCCATATAATGTTGTTTATGATATTCACAATTTAACATATTTCTTTACCATTGACTTTAGTTACAATTGTCTATGTAGCTATCTGTAACCATTTCATAAACATGGGACTGTAACACAGCCTGTCAGCAAACTCCTTAATCATAGTGTTCACACTACACGTACCATATTTTTACCTAGTTTTGGTAAATCGGTTGCATCTTAGTAAATACTGATTAAAAAGTTAAGATTTTAAGGATTTTTCACACCTCAATGTTCCTTTTACAACTTTGTAAATTTAAATAATTTTTTCCTAGTTTCTTTTCATATGTTTAACTAAAATACATATATTTTACTCTCGATCTTACTTGCCCCTACTTAGTATAATTTTATCTACATACGTAATCATAAAGGTTATAAAATCAAGTAGTTAATTGTTTTCTACGAATTTTTCATTTTAAAATATTTTAGCTTTATGCCGAATAAATGCGAAATTTGATCTAAATATTTTGGAAGCTCTGAGTTTCGGTTTTAATGGTTTGTTTACAGTTTATAGGGAATTTGGGGTGCCAGGGAATGTATTTCGTGTTGTCCAAATGATAAGATTTCAACGATTATGTACATATAATGGCAAAAGAGTACTTATTGTAAGCGGAGGTAAAAAAATGTATAGAATCTTATATTCTTTTCGTTTCGATATATTTTCAACCATTTGTTTCCTCGTTCATGTCTAAGTTATTTACTTAGTTGTGTTTGTTTAAGAAATATTTTAGTAATACTACGTAGAAAAAAATGTGTAAAACAATATTTAAAGAAGCAATACTTTAGGAAAGAGTGAGAGCAGCTTTTTTGTACGACGCTGGATCATCTAGACATGGAAAACTATTTTTGTCACTGTCAAAGGTAGTCATAAGCTGTTTTCACATAAATTTTATTTATTAGATACTTTATAATACCATCGAGTTTCATTAAATATAAAAAAAAAACAATTACTTATTAAAGCCATCTTTTCATATTTAAATATTGGTTTTATACCTTTCTACTTAGGCCAAAGCAACTTGTAGCATCGAAAATCTTAATGGCGACACGAAAACATTTAGTGTCGTTAAATAGAATTGATGGCGTCGCAAATGAATACAGAGTTTCAATCCTTTGTTTGTTCAATTGAATTTTGTCGAGGGCAAACACTTTGGAGCTTAATATTGTATAGAATTGTGAAGATAATAATAATTGTCGCCTGCGATATTTCCGGACTGATTTGGCCTTCAAAACTTTAAGAAGAGAATGTACTTCGACCTTAAAGGGCAGCAATACGTGACTTATAAGTTGCAGTATATAGGGGATAGTAACACTACTGATATTGAACCGGCGCTTATGTTTCACCACTTCTGTATTTCTACCAAAATGGTACTATTTTTTTACACTAGTAACACAAAAAGAAGCGTTAGCATCGCCACTAATACGCCGTCATTTTGTAGCGCCTTTGTACCAAATACTATACCAAATAGTGCCATTTTGGTAGAAATACAGAAGTGGTCCAATTTAAGCGCCGGTTCAATATTGGTTACTCTCTCTGTCTTATTAGACACACCTAATAGTATTGTAATAATAGTATGTAGCATTTATTTCATTATTTTAATACATCGACAGCTAATATTTATTCTCGTTTTCTGTTTAATGATAAAAATATAATGAGAACATCGTTTTTAATGATAGAATCGCTCTTTGTACATTAACTAAGATAAATTGTATAATAAAAAATATTACGTAATATCTATAATACTCAACTTCCGATTGCACTCATTTTTTTTCAAATTTGTTGAGATCTTGCTAAACCCTAATGGTTCAGCGTATCCTAACTAGTCATGTAGTGTTATTCATCATCAGGCTTTTGTTGGTGCTTGGAGACGGCCAAGTCTGTGGAGTAAAGTGACTGCAATGTCATCTTCATAGCGTCCTACTGTGATGCCATGATATAAAATTATTAATTATTATAGGATTAGCCTGAAAAATAAGTATAAAACACATTCGATTAGCCTTAAGTTTTGACCATATTGCACTGTATGTAGTTATAGTCAGACTTACAGGCGGTTCTTCACCAGTTTGTCCATCTGTCTACAGAGCTGTTTGAGAGATGAATGAATGAATTAATTAATTTTCTTTGAAAGTGATCTTTTTAGTGCCCTGTCCATTTTATTAATCCAGGAATTCATATTTCATTTATTAGCAAGTAGTCAAAACCTAAGTAATTATTGAATAAGTTGAAACCTTTTATGACCCATTAACCTTGTTGTTTGTCATTAACTATTCAAATAAATTATTAGTTGAGTCCACATTTATGGGGTTTTACTTAATAGATATTTGATGGTACCTAAACACGAACTAATCTAAGACTGCAATTATGTTAAGAGGTCTGGCATGTAATAATATTGACTAGTTCTTTATACATTTGTTAATTTTAATATTTTAATTTCTTTAAGTATTGTAGCTATAATCTTAGCTAAGTAAATGTCTAAGGCATTTTCTAGAAATAACCTTCCAAAGAATGAAGATGAGTTATTTTATTAAATGAAATATTGGTACTAGTACCTAACTAAATGTTTACTTTCTTATCCATACTTATAATATAATTTGACTGCACGGATGGCGTAGTGGTTTAAGTGGTCGGAACGCCGCTTCCTACTACGCCGAGTGTTGTGTTTTGAAACCCTACATGGGACGACAATTTGTGTGATCCACAAATTCTTGTTCTGAGTCTGGTTGTTCGTTGTGTCCGTTTCATGTATGTTTGTAAAGACCCCCGCGACATGTGACGCGACATGAAATGTGAAATTGAGTTTGTTCGTTTGATACGCTTTCACTCCTAAACCACTAAACCGATGTGAAAAATTCTTATACCAATGCAAACCTACATTATCAGCAAGTAACATAGGCTACTTTTTACCGCGATAACCGACATAAACGCGAGCGGAGCCGCGGGCAAAAGCTAGTATGCAAATACAAACGATGATGTTGTATGATGAACTCATACAATATCACCGTTAAAACCCGTTCTTACCATATAAACAAATTAATTCTGTATTTTTTTGAAGATGGGACGTCTTCCATTTATATTAAATAACGGTTATTAGACATTATGACGACAATCGGAAACTATTTTTATAGAAAAACAGGACAGAAAGGATGAGTCAACAAACCCGGAAGTGAGCAAAGTATTTAAAAAATTTGGCCTTTTTTTTGGATGTTCCTGAGTGACTATATTTCCATAGAACTTTTTTTACGGGCTCCATAACAAAGAGAGAAATCTCTGATCAAAGGCATGATGTTTCAGTACAGAATCAGTAATTATTACGTAGTTTTGATTGTCTATAAGAGTCAACGCCGTGTGTGATGGAGGTAATAATGTTACTCGTAGTTATGTTTGGCAGAAAGACATTTGTGATAGTAAATCATGTTTCTTTTCTTATTCTAAAGAGTCTTGTTTTTTAGACGTAAAAAACTTTTTAAACTCTTTAAAAGATAGAAATAATCATATCACATCATCATCATCAAGAATCTTTAATAGGCCATTCTTCTCAATGGGACTCTCCTTAGAAAGGAGGTTTTGGCCTCTTTGCAGTGCTGTTGTCTAACTCGTGTGTCTTACGATACCCACGGAATGAATAGTAGTGATGACACTTCGTATATTTTTCTCCTTTTTTTCTTTTACTGAAAGGTCTACTAGCAACTGAAATTACTAGTATTCCCATTAACCTCTCCCGCTAAGCTAAATTGCTTGTGTTAGAAGTGGGTTCACGCCGGTATCCAAATCCTTCGATCGCAAATCCTTTGAATTAACCACTAGGCTTTTTTTTTCTTTTTTCTTTTATGGTAGTTAGGGGGCAGACGCGCAGACGGATCACCTGATAGAAAGTGACCATCGCCGCCCATGAACGTCTGCAACTCAGGAGTCACAAACGCATTGCCAGCGTTTTAGGCCACCGCCGCTCATCTTTTTGTTCCGTCACCACACAGATATATTACTTACGTTGAACAAAACGTAAGAATGTGAAAAAAGCCCTGATAAAAATAAAATAATATGCACTTTCAAACACGTAAACTATGCTTTTTTTTGGATGGACAGTCTTTCGGAGGAAAATAATATTTCAATCATATCACATCAACAGCCTTTAATAGTCCACTGCTGGACATAG